GTTGTAGCTACACAAGAAAATCGTCAAGCAGATTACACCTGTCGAACAGAGAATAACTTGCCGGGCAATCAGCAAGATGCATTCTTCTCTCCTCGACCCGTTTCCTTCTGGTCGCATTCCGAAGGTTGGTGGGGCTATTATCCTGTGCAATATAATGCTCCACCCAATAAGTCCGTGAACGAAGCGGACAAGCGTTCCTTTCCTTACCTACAATATCCAGATGAAAATGCGTGCGTTGGATATGAATTTTTTTATCCGGTTTATGACGAAAACTTTGCGGACGTGGCACGAATAAATAACCAAGAAAATTCTTCAGGCCAGTATGGTTACGTTACTGTAATTTGCCCCCAAACGGGTTACAATGATGTCCAATCGCACGTTGATGAAAATAACTGTAACTACGTTCACAATCATTATGCCAGTGTTCATTCATCTCCTGCTCAGGACGATAGCTATTTTATGCAAGACAGTTCGATCAATAAATCAGGAAACACCTTGCCCAACGATTTGGGAATTAATCACTTGGACGCACAATCGAATGGGACACATAATCCCAAAAATGTCTGCGAGAATTACAATGGTGATAAAAATGGTATTAAAACGGCGATGAACATAGTTGATGAGGAAGACGACACGTCAGATGATCCCAACAAAACTATGATCTCTAATAACATTGAAAAATCGAAAAAAACATTTGGTCTGCATATCAATGTGCCTAATTACACATACATAGACACTAGCGATTCTAGTGATTCTAGCGATTGCAGTGATTCCAATGATTCTAGTGATTCTAGCGATTCTCTCTCCGATAATGAGCATTCTTCGGATTCCTGTCAGAAATATTGTAATGATACTACTTCCAATAATACATTGTCCAATAGTGATTCGGATTCATACGAAGGTTACTCAATAGGTATAAATCCTTACGAGAAATTGAAGAGAAATCCGTGTAATGTTTCTTCCAGTGAGAATTATACCGATCCCACTGCTTATTCGGAATGCTCGAATGTCGATAATTCATGTACACATTCGCAAAGCAATTCCGAAAGTAGTACTCACGGTGACAAGGTACTTTTTAAGAAAAATGATTATTCAAACGATCGAAATTCTTGCACAACACAGTTAAAACAGGATTTTACGTCAAAGTCGAAGGGATATAACGAAGAGGGTGACATGGATAATCAAAGTAATCTCGACTCTTCTAATCTAGAAGAGTTTGGTAAGATGAATTCTGTAAGTAGTCGCGTATCGAATACGGAGCAATGTGATCAAGAGAGCCTGATAACTGACAACGTCGTTCCCCATCAGTTAAGCATAATTTACGAGGATGTGGAACGGTTGAGTTCTGAAAGTCTTTATTGCGAGAGTAAGAAGAAGATCGATGAACAGAATGAAGCTTCTTTCGAGATGACCGATGATCCGTCCGATGATGCCGAAGCTACAATGGTCAGCGTGAGTTTGCCTCTAAAATTCAAATTTTCCGTGTCCGAGGACAATGAAGACATCACCACTGTGACGGTCGGCAACAGTAAAATAAAGGCGGAGAGATCTTGTAGTGGATGTTCCGCTAAAAATGATATGGATGACGATGTTAGCGCGAATTTTCATATTAGCAATGACACCAGCGTGAATTTTACCGTGAAGAGACACGTGTCAGACGCGACAGGCGCAACAGAGAGCATGAAAAATGAGGCGAGTATCGAGACCGCGGTACCGCATGTGGATTTCACTTTCAAGAAAGATTCAACGAACGTTAGCGAAACTAACTGCAAAGAACAGAACACGGAGGCGGAATTCCCAGTTACAAAAACAGAATGTAACGGAATAAACGTCGTGGAATCAGCGCCGAAGAATGTCGATGATTGTACCGCTTCTAAATCGGAAATAGATACGGAAATCAACAGCGAGGGATCAGTAAACGATGAAAATTATAGCCAAGCAGAATCTGCTTGTAATAATTTCGGATTCATTGACGTCGACAAGACGATCATTGAGTCGAAGATTGTTGCATCCGAACATTCCTGGATGCAAAATTTCGAAACACTTCAAACTGTCGATACAAATCAAACAAATCAGAAGGATTGTTGCGTAATAGTCGATGATGATCGATGTGTCGACCCTGATAGACAGGAACTCTGTCAGACAGATATGAAATACTTGTTGAGTATCCAAGATTCTCGCGAGGATACCGATGATGAGGACAGTGGAGTTACTTCTGATACAAGTCGAATGATATCTGAGATCGACACAGAGTGTCGTGAGATCGACACAGATTCGGAGTCTACCATTACAAAGAAGCAAAAGAAGTATCAACGAACGCAAACGCACTCACGACTCTTTCGGCTTCTGAACGACGATTCCATTTTGTCTGACTGTACCAGAACAGATCCCTGCAGAAAGGAATATCTCAGTTTACCGCTTAAGACGAATGCGTTCAACTACGATGACAGTTATTGCTCCAACTATTCCAGCGGTTTAACATCTCCGGAATATTCGCCTATTCACGAGCAATCTTGTCGAAAATTTCACGACACAGCAATGAATGGAAATACCGTGAGTTTATCGGACGGTAAGGTCCACCATCCGGCGCACCAGCCGGAGATTCCTTCAAAGGATAATTCGTATTTTCTGACTTGGAAAAACACGAAATTACCTAACCCACAGGAGCACGATGTTATGCCTTCTTTAGCTTTCAAGATCCTCAACAGTAAGACGCCCTTTTGGACCTACAAGGTGAACGTACTGTGCCCGAGAATCAAGAGTACGAAAAGCGTGCCACAAGCCCTGCTGGCACAGCAAATCGACCAGAACTAACGACATTCGTCGGCGATTCCTCCTATCCCGATGTCCTTATGCGAATACTAAACCAACTATTGCTGATGGCCCTAAGGCAGAATGAGGCCGGTGTGTTTGCCGCTGCGAGCAACCGCTCTCCACGATCCACGGACATATTTTTTTCTCGATTCTCTTCACAAGACAGGGCTGAGCATGCCCAAGGTGCTCTACGGGCTACGTGATTTTTTTTTCTATCGGTACATATCGTTTCCATATATTCGTGTATCATTCTTGATTTCTTCTCCAGATTTCCCACTTTCCTTTCTTTCGTTTTTATCATTTATTATATAGTTGAACCTCTATATTTGTAACATTTCGCTCTGATCAATCATCCTATTTTTAACACTTCTTTTTAAATCTATTCTTACTTCAATGACATATAGTATGCGTAGAATAAAAATAGTTATTGACATATTGTATATGCGTACTTTTCGTCTTTTACTTGAGGTTTTCTTATTCTGCGTATGATCACATATTTTGTGTGAGAAATGTAAAGTTATAGGCGCGCGGAGGAAAGAAGAGAGGAAAAAAACGTAAAAAAGTGTTAAGAATACGGAGATTTGATTATTATTTTATTTTTTTTTGTATTCCTTATTGCTCGATTATAGACGCATGTAATCTTTTCCCTTATTATTTTTCTCTTGTTTTCTTTTTCTGTATCTCTCTCTTCTGTTTTTGTATTTCGCAGAAAGTTAGATTATGAACGCTTGATGATTGCTTTATGCATGTTGTAACTAATACTGATAAAGAAACACAAATAAAATTATTTATGAGTCTAAAATATTCGAGAAACGGATAAACAGTGTGACGGAAGAAATTATTCGACAATTTGACGTATATCAAATACAATAACTTTTGCAGTTGTTTTATATTAAATTTTATGTGAATGTACAAAGTAAAGAAACTATAAGAGAAAAGAGTAGCGGACGAAAAGATTGTGATATAACCGAATTATGTATATATGTATATATACATATACACATACACATGTACACTCACTTATTTACATACACACATACATACACACGCACAAATCACAAACACACACTAAATTCTTAAATTCTTAAATTTTATTTAAACAAACTGTACATAATTTATACACAATATGTATATACTTTTTTAACTTTGTTTTTTTTTCGTAAATTGACAATATAAAGATTGTTCTTAAAAAATATAATTCCTTATTTTTCAGGTCCTGATGCAACTGATTACTGAGAAATGATTGGTGAAATTCTGCTTAGACAAAGTCGAATTGTTTAGTGCGCTTTTTTCTATTTTGTTTACAATAATCCATAGTACTTACGTCGCCGTTTGCTGATCCATCGATAAAAATCAAAGGCTTTCTTCAAAGTGGGCTGCAAATCGCTAATATAAATTATCTCGATATCGAATTAAATAGAATTTTGCATCATATAATTCTTTCCGAAATATATGAAAATATAATAGATTCTGTTTTTAGTTATTATTATATGTATTAAATACATATTTGTATCGCTGTGTAATATTTTTTCAAATATTTAACTTAAACTCGTTTTTGAAATTTTAATTAATTATAATAAGTTATATTAATTTCCAAAATTTCTTAATCAATTTCTTAAGAAAAAAAATGTTAAATGGCTTATTATAGTAGATTGGCTACGTCGACACGTCGCAATATGTATGTTATATTATGTGAGCACGAGCACGTGGTTTGTTTATTTAAGATGAATGGATCGTTATAGGAATTGTAATAACACTCTTTTTAAAAATATTAATCATAATTTAAAAAAAAATATGTGTAAACGTACATATCTATGCATATATTGTTAATCTTGTTACCTGAAGCTATCACTGTATTACTCATCCAAGTTGTAAAATAAATTATTTATAATATTGATAATGCTAATAAATATCTTCTTGTTTATTCTCAAGAACGCAATGTGGCCTGCAGTTTCATATACAAAATTTACGTATATACGTATTTACGTATATACGTATATTATATAATAATATATTATTAATTAAATTTAAAAGTTGCACTTTATTGTAAACGAGTTTCTACATTATATATATATATATTTTTTTTTTGTATGTAATTTTTAACTTCATATTCTCATATATAATTTCTTATAATTAATTTTATTTATTTCATATGTAATTATTAATTTCGCATAAATACAAACATATCAGTCTGTTAATATGCGAAATAAATTAAAAATATAATGTGTGTAATAACGTGCTATAAACAGATATACTATTCAGAGTGTGATGTATGTTCGTTTACGGTGCATAATATACGCTATAATAGCCCAAAGGATTACCACCCAAATTGATTCAATTAAACATAAAGCACGACTGTCCATGGCGCCGATCCTCCAATGGAATGGAAAGATTTCATAACACATTTCATGACCCACATATAACAGCAGTGCATTCATGCCTGAATTAATTGGATTATATTAAAACATAATAAAAATATTAAAAATGCTAAAAATACGTTCTTTTTTTATAATATTGTAACTCTAAATTCTATATTTAATTTGCTGCTAACATAATTTAAAAACTGGTTTTATAATTAAATAGAAAATTAAATGTGAATTACTATAATTGAAAAAAAAAAAAAATGTTTGTCCAATTTCGTCTATTGTTTTTAAATCTCTATTTCATAGTTTCATGTTCTATCTAATATTTTTAAACCTCTATTTCATAATTTCATGCCTTTTGGATTATTTTTAGCTGCGTATTAATATGTTTAACGCAAAGTTTTAGAGTAAATTAAACAAAACGTATAGCTACTCACCGGGGATTCTGAAAGGGCCACCTCGCCAAATTTGAGCAACATCGATCAGCAAATAACAACCAGAAAGAAAAGCCAGAGAAAAAGAAGTAGTAACGAATACAAATGACAAAGACCTGCGTAATTATATCAATTCACAGGGGAATTAGTATTATAATCATTTTTATAATTTTGTATTAAAATAAAATTGCGCAAATTGCTATTTGTAGTAATAAATAACAGAACTAAATTTTATTATATATATAACAGAACTGAATTTTAATACTTTACCACAAATTTTTATTAACGGGTATAGTGTTAGTGAAATGAAAGGCGCAACCCAGACAAGCATAAAACACTGCCCACAAAAGCCATCTCATAACACGATCCTTCCAGTCTTTATATAACATCAGAATTGTACCAGCATGTACACCTAGAAATACTTGAAATATCGCTGTAAGACATCCTAAAAAAATATACAGAGAAAGTTATTTTTTAAAAGCGACCAGTTATTCTTATTTGTTATTGAATTAAAATAGTAACTAGTTATAACTGTAATTAGTTACGGTAATCGTAGCTTAAAAAGTAACAATTTCGCGCTATTTTTCCATTTTACTTTTTTAATGTTGAAATAAGATCAGTCTAAAAAATTTTAAATACTTTTTTTTTAATATTTATAAAAACAATAAACAATAATGACATTATAGACCAATATATGAAAATATAACTAAAAACGAAATAATTTTTTGGTTCGAGCTAAAGTTAAGCTTTGTACATCATACATAATAATGTTCCAGAATGAATTTATATACTATATACCTATCTAGTTCTATATACAAACCACGCGCCGATTAAATTATCAGTCTTGAAACACAATTCAGTTAACAAGTGATTTTTTACAATAAATTTTGTAATACATGGCATCATTTCCATCAAGCTTAAAGATTAGTATTCATAAAGTTTGTTCTTACGTTAATATAGTCTTGTGATTGGTTATTATAATATTTTTAAGATGTCATAAAAAAATCACAGAGCCGTATTAGTATCTTAAGATATTACTTAGCTTAAAGTAACAGCGAATGTGGTATGGATGCGCGGATGTAAACTAACATTAATTTCTTTATAAACATATATGTTCAGTTCTCGCTTTCCACAAGCTTAAATACCATGAGATTATGAAAATATATCAAACATATTTTAGAAGCACAAAAAGTGTTCCAAAACTATCGCGATGTGCTTTTCACGATAGATTATTTAATCAATTAAAAATTAAATTTTCTTTAACATAATGGATAAAATACAAGACTGCAACAAATTATGATCTTCTTTTGCAACAAAAAAGATAGATTTTATATATTGGCTAAAGTACCTATCATTAAAAAAATATTTAGTGGTTTCAGGAAACGTTCTACTATGTGTTTTATTAAATACATAATACATATTTTAATAATTATGTTTATAACTGTAATGATAAACAACAAAAGTTACCTAAAATTCCTTCGGGATCAAAAGGAACGGATCCATAAACAGGTTGACTAGTTGGATATTGATAAATATGATTTAAGGTCAGTACAGTTTTATCAATATATCCAGTTGCACCTCCAGTACAGTTAAAATATTTACCATCTTCATGCCTTCCACCCGGTCCAAGATATCCACTATAAATAAGATCAATATAAGACCTACATAATAAATAATAGCATTAAAAAATTAGAGTCCAAAAACAAAGTTAAGGTACATACGTGGGACATCCAGGAACTGGAAGACAAAACGTCAAAGCGCAATGTACAATTACTAAAATCAGCATTACAAACCAGTGTGGCAAAAGACTTAATACGTCTTGCATTTTCCGCATTATCCAAGTCGGTGATGGGTTCTGTAAGTACACGAAGAATTTATGTTACTTTCTGTAATTCGCACATTGTCAAATTACACATTATAGTTTTTATGAGTTAAGAATTGCATATATTATATTGTTATTATTGATAAGGTATAAAAAATATCTATTAAATTATAGAAACATATTTCAACAATAATCAAAATTTCGTTATAGCTTTTCATAGATAATTATTTAATATGTAAGTTTTGTTGCCGGTAAAAAATTGTTTAAAAATACGTAGAGGCCAGAACTCTTTACAAAATCTACAGAAAGCATTAGAACTATCGTAGAACTGTAGGAAAATAGCAAAAAGTCCGCGGGAACTGGCTGTTACGTGGTACTTTACTCTTGTGGTGCGGTGCTGGCTCTGACATTAAAAAATTGTTTAAAAACGTAGAGGCCAGAACTCTGTGCAAAACCTATAGAAAGCGTTAGAACTATTGTAGAACTGTAGGAAAATAGCAAAAAGTCGGTGGGAACTGACCGTTATGCGGTACTGTACTCTTGCGGTGGGGTGCTGACTCTCACTTTAAAAAATTGTTTAAAAATACTTAGAGGCCGGAACTGTCGCTGAAACCTATCAGGAACTGTAGAACTCTTCGAGAACTTTAGAATTTCGTGATAAAAATTAATTTTTGCGATACTTGGGGTGCCACGCGAAGTTGGCACCCCATTTACAAAATTTTTTTTTTTTAGCTAAATCAGCGGAACTATTGTTAAAACTTAGCAGGAACTGTAGAACTATTGTAGGTGCAAACGGAACTGTGTACAAAATATCGATTTTTAAAAATGGGGTGCCAACTTCACACCGGCAGTTTTGTTCCGATATTTCATGTCCGATATCGCATGTAGATGCGAAAGAAGAATATCACAGCATTCAAAGAACACATAACATATCTATGTAATATAATATATATTTATATTATGAGGTTTACAAAAATGTTTAATATTTTCATACCCGAAGAATTTTTGATTGTTGGGGTGGAAAGCAGAGATACACTAGGCCAACGACTAGATAAGTAACTCCGAATCGTTGAAGAACTCCAAATATCCGTATATTTTCCACTTGCGCATCTGTTCCTAATGTATTCAGCGAAACACCTATCAGAAATAGAAGGAAACTTCTCTGCGATAAAAAGCAGATATCGCAAATTAACAGAGAAATTAGAAATATTATTAAGATTAAGATGAAAAATATACCGGACTGCACTTTTTTTACATTTTCAATGTCTTCTTTTAAACGAATCAATACGTTTTAACGTATATAAATTATATTTTTCATTTTTTCTAGTAACAGTTACCTTTAAAATGGAATAACTTATTTGAAGTTTAGAAACTCCACGCTTTAACTGCGACGATAGAGCTATAGGAATGCAAACACCCATAATCCATATAAAACAAGGAAATACTATATCTCCTAGTAACATGCCGTCCCAAATTGTGTGTTCCAATATGGTATAACTACCAGAGCCATCATTAACAAAAATCATGAAAAGAGTACTGGCCCTGCATCATATAAGCAATTGTGTTAATATTGTATGAAATTCTCGGTTATACTGGTCCCGTTTGTATTTCAACCTACCTGTATATTGTGAAAACAAAAAGGCAAATTTTGAGAAAAAAGACTAAAACTTTGCACACACCTAATAATTTTTCATTCATCACTTATTCTATCGAAATAATATTAAGTAAACTTTGTCAAATAATTTACATGCTTAAAAAATAACTATTTTTTTTAATACTACGTAATAAATTAACATTTGAAACAACATTGTTATTTAGAAATGTCATTATTAAAATACTATTACTTTTTAATTTATCTATAATAATAATATCTAATAATATATTCATACCCTCTGAATGTATCGATTGCTCTTACGCGACGTTTTGTTAGTTCTTTATTATTTGATTCATCCTTGACACCTGTAACGCATTTTGTGATCATATACCATAAAGATCTTCCAGCAGATATACCACATAAGATAAATATAATTACTCCCAAAGTAATGAAAAGTTCTGTAAAAATATTATTTAAAAAATATATATAGATTTTATTAAAATTTATATTTTTTTTATTAGCATAGTTAAATAAAAAAATGTTTCGAATAGCGATAATTGTTTTGTCGAATAATAAATAATAATTGACAAAATGAACTATTATTTTGTTAATTTTTGAAAGAAACTAAGACGAGTAAAAAACCTATAAATTGTCTGTCACATGTAAATATATATATAATTTTTTTTAAATTATTTTTTATGTTTCAAAATTTATATTTGAAGAACGATATATATAATGTAAGAACATTAGTATTTTAAAGTAAAACAGCATGTCAAAATTTTTTTTATTTTTGTTAATTAGTATTGAATAAAAACGATACCTTCAAAATTTAGAATTATATATAATATCTTATTACAATTTTAATCGATTCTTTAAGTGATCATTATAATTCTACATTCAATAATTATCTTTTTAATATTATTGATATCTTGATATCAGCCAGATAATATCTTCATGCCAGTTATCAAGTTCAATGAACAAACAAAGTGATAATTCCACTAGTATAAGATACTAGTGGTATTTTATCAATTGACATCTTATACGTTCAAATTGTATAATTCTTAATGTCACATGACATTTTTATAATTATCTCAAGATTTAATCAGACATAGAAATGTTTACATACATACCTGTGTACGGATATGTTGGATTCTTTATAATTTTAAAATTACAATTGTTGTTTTGTACTGCCAATTCGTATAAACCATATTGCCCTAAATGCGGCGTCAGTTCGCAAACAATATTGCTAAAAGATAAGATTTGAAAAACATTAATTAAAATAAGATAAAACAATGCGTTGGCAGAACAAAAACATACTTATAAAACATCTTAAATACAAAGTTTTAACTCATAATAATTGGATATAATATACGTTATATAGACAACCTTTTTAAATTTATTATTTCTTCTTAATATTGATTTACTTTATTATGTGTAATTTATAATATAAATTTTATTATGTATTTACTGTATATAACAGTATTAATGTGATAACTCATTAAATATTTTACGAGTTATTTCATCTTTTCACTGGAAAATGTATAATGTCAGAATATAAAACACAAAATATTTCATAAACTATTACGACATTTTTTACAATTGAATTGAAATATTTTTAAATGTGAAACGATTAGAAAAACCAAAATACGAAAAAATTATGACATTGCATCTAAACACAATGCTGATAATGTTGAAAATATTAATCAAAAATTGCATGTTTTAAAAAATTTGGCGCATAATATTTCATTTTTAAAACTAAACCATCTAAAACTTTTATCTTTTAAATGAAAAACAACTCTGAATTTTTATCTGGAGTAATATGTTAAAGTTAAAACGGCACATAGACATATATATGTGTATATTTTAAATATTGTCATGAAATATAAGGTATATTTTTTATTAGTAAAATGTCTTATAATAATTTTTTTCTTTGAAATTTACAAAAAAATTTCTGAGAAACACTTTTTAAACTTCTTTAGATTTGATAAGTTCTTTTTAAAATTTTTCTAATTTATACAAAAATTTTAAAATTTTCTAAAAAATTATAAAATTATTGTAAAATTGTACAACTTTTGTAAAATTATATAAAGTATTCTAAGAAAAATTCTCATCAGAGATGCATATGTGTATGTATATATATATGTACGTCTTTTATTAATAAAATTTATTCGGAAAAAACGTAGCTAGTATATATAAAATAAATATTAATTTAAATAACTACCTTAAATAATTAAATCAAATAACTAAATAAATAATTAATTTACATAATAAGTTTACCTTGTAATTTTGGAAGATACATATTTCTCACTTCCATTATTGTTTAATATTCTCCACTTTAATGTTTCGATCGTACTGAATTTTAGACTGATATTGTTTGAAATCTGCGCTATTCGTTTATACGGACACTAAAAAAAATATAACGGAAAGTTAAAAATATATCAGTTATTATGCGCCTATAAACTTATATACTGTCCAAAAAGATGAAATTTGTGTTACAAAATCTATATAAAAATTATTTATTAATTAATCTACTCTGCTTTTTCTTTGATAATTTTATTTTAGATTAGTATTCTGATCAAATATTGCTGAATTTAATGAAATTCTATAAAATTTTTCTATATGTCACGAATCGTAATTTATTAATAAGAACTGCTTAAATTTTTCTTTTTATCTTTTACTGCACGATTTTATTACTGTTATAAATTACTATTAAAAATTTAATATCAATCACGAAATAATACGATTATCTATGACATTAGAAAAATTATATTTTAAAAATTATACATATAAAATATTATAATTGTACTTACTAATAAACAATCCATAGAAAGCGAATACAGCCACTTGTTAAAGTTTCCATTATCAGATATCACATTTACGCAGGCTTCGTCAAACTTTACACGATCGTAAGAGCAATTAAATTTGTCCATTATTAGTATCTTTACTAAAATAAGACTATATTTAAATTGCGATAAGATGCGTATTTTTAATTGATAGAAACACGTTTAGACGATTGACATATGACATATGTAATATCAAAATCCCCCGTAACATCTGTTTCCTTCACAATATGAACGATCTCAAATAAATATTACACTGTTGAAAATCTTACGAGATCGGTATTTTTCTTTATATTTATGCAATAATTGATGAGACTCAAATTTACACGATAATAGTAGCGAGTAGCGACGCCTGACTGAGGTAACAGAATGACTTTTCTTAATAATATCGCAAAGTATCAGAATTGCGATTACATCAAGTGCTAAACACGAACGACTGAAGAGTGAAAGTGAAGACCTACATTAATCACTAACACTGTTGCATATGAGCGTATCCTTTTAGCAAAAGTGAGAAAATATATTGAGGACAAATCAGTTATAAAATAATTAAAGAATATACGTTCCCTTAATTCGTCCATTTATTTTAGGGACAGCTTGTACAATATATTGCATGTTTCTTACTAAATTTTTTAATATTAAAAGATATATTAAAATTATTAGTTTAGGTATTTATGCAAATTGTTATGGAGGATTAAATCAATTCCTGTTCTCGCATATGTGCGTGTTCGCGCACACATGTACAATATACAATCATTTTTAATGAATTTAATTTTTTAAATGTAATTATTTGATATATAAATCTCGCATCCTATAACGATGCTACTTATTGTGTTTTGTTTATATAATACATAAATAAAACCAAAATAATTGAAACACAAATACAACGTAATTATTAGAAAATTTTTTTTAGTATAATATTATTTCGACAATTTATTATCCAATCACTATAAATTATTTTCTCTTTCGTCTATTTCGTTCTGGTAATTACAATTCATGTCACTTACATTTTTATCCATTTAATTTATAGTTAGAGAGAAACAAAGATTCAACTTTTCGTAAATACAATGTCATAATCACTCTGTTGTTGCCGTCACATTGCCATAAAAATACTAGACTCACCAACAAATCGTTAGTTGTCGTCATGTTGCCGTCACATTGCAAGTAACATACAATACTAATATTTCTGACCGCTTGCTTTTAAAATCCCATCAACTAAATATTTGAATTATCATTCATGCTGTTTAGTACGATAAGATACTTGATATGACGACAACTAGACAATAACTATTCAACAACGAATTAGTTTGCTCGATGTGATTAATCACACTTTGTTATCTGAGTTATCTTAAATGATATTAATGTATATTTAATTCTGATATTAACAAAACTAACACAAATATTAATTGACATATAAGTTTATAGTTTAATATACTTTATTAACGTAATAACATTAATGATCTAAAGTATAAAGTAATACAATTTTATAGATACTTATGTGTTTTTCTGTACGTCTGAAAGATGTAACATAGCTATATTTCTTCGTACGTATCGATATCTGTCGGAATGATCAATTGTGTTCTTTTAAATCTGTTTGCCAGTCTGTGTATACATGTCTGTTTAAGGTGAAACAAGTTTAAAATAAATATTCACGAAAAGCACATATGTATTCATTTCAAAGTTTTTAAGTTTTTTAAATTCTATTTTGATAAATGAAAACTTAATTACCAAACGTAATCTTTTCTATCAAAAGTTTTGAATAATGCTACATTAACAGTCATTCTAACGATTATTTAAACTATCGAGGTACATAAAATAAAAAAAATATAAATATATTAACTTTTGTAATTTTAATTTACTGAAAATTATTTTTCTTTTCAACAGAAAATAATTATTATATTTGCTAAGAAAAGAATACATTTGTTCTTTTCAATCTTTCTTCCAAATTTACGAACACATTACCTTTCCCCTCACACAACACACATACACACGTACGTGTGCGTGCGTAATATATATACATATACACGATAGTCCACTAGGGCACCTTGCATATCTTTATTATTTCAAATAGAAAAAAATATTGAAAAGTTTTATAGTGTCAAAGCACACGTAATGTAATAGCAATACTTTCAACGCAGAGACAGGAGATGACAATTGATTTTTTAATACCTTATTAATTTTTTACCTTATTTTTATCTTAATATTTATATATGTAGAATGTTTGTGTTAACCATATTACTATGCACAGCGAAAGTATTACCATTATATGTGCCTATTCATAACCATAAAATGTTATAGCTTCAATTTTTTCTATTCAAAATAATAAATATAAACCATTTCATGTGCGTGTGTATGAGTGTTGTCTGTGTAACATTTAATGCAAGTTTGGATGCACACAAAAATACAATGATCGAGTACAAAGCCTTGCTTGAATTTCTTTAGGCAATGAGATAACAAATTATCGATGCGAAATAGCCAGAGTTCGAATACAAGCTCTAGCTGTGAGTACTTAAAAAATTATTTATTGACTAAGAAGAGTTCTTATTTCTTTGTGCATGTGACATAGGAAATCGACGTAGCTAGGACTTCCATCATTTCCCCTATCTTCAACTAAGAAATGGCGTAGAACCATTTCCAATTTTTCACGTTGTCTCACTATCGTTAACTGTAACAAAGAAATATAATTATTTCATGATATAATCTATTTATGCATTATGTTAAGTAAGTTATTTACTTTTACACAATGATGTCTCTCGGCGCGTATTCGATTGATAATGTTCGTGATTCTATTATTTAAAGGAGTGTCCAAGATCGGCAGCGCATGATCTGTATCAACTTGGACCACTGAAGGTACGCCGAAGACACTCTGTACCCATTGAGAAGAAAGTGCCATACCCAACCATAAGAACATATGGATCGTGTTTTCTGTAAAATAAAATGTGAAATATATAAAATAATACTAATATTGTTTGTCATATTTCAAAAATAAAGATGTAGCAATCACAAGTTTTTGAAATATCAGAATAGTACGGTATGATAGTGTTTTAAAAACCGAAATTGTGTATTGTGAGTATAAAAAGATACTGTAGAAAATAATTATATTCCTCTTTTTATTTAAAAAAATAGAGATTTTGTTAAAAATTATGTTATTTATAATTTTATATTGTTTAAAAAGTCAATATTTTTTATTAAGTATATATGTCAATGTTCTATGTAATTTTAATATTACCGAGTAAATAAGCGCCATCGTCTGTAAATTTATCGATAGAGCAACGTAACATTGGAGGCAGTTCCGTATCCTGAGGATCAACGTTATGTAAAGGAAGTAACCTAGGATAAGTATATGCAACTGATAGAGGAATAGGCATTGTTGTAACTGCTTGCATTACATAAGATTTATCATCAATGGCCATATCAGCTCCTAAAATAAAAATATAATAAATAAATAAATACAATGATAAATAAATATATTAGCTAAATATATGTCGATATAGAATATATTTTTACCTCCTGATAATGCATCGCTTTTTAATAAACAGTTTACATAAAGTGGAAGTAATTTCATACATTCTGGCAAGATTAATTGCCCAGCACTGGATGGTGTTGCACAATGCTTTCGATATACGGCCAATATGTTCGCGCATCGTGCAATCAAGTTATCTTTCACCGTTTTTGGAGTAGATTCCAATAATTTAAAAACACCTAATAAGAAGTAATTACGATCACATGTTATTATTTAAATAAATATTATATTTATAATCATATGACACTCTTAATTTTCTTACTTTGCTTAGAAAAGTAATTTGTTATGGCATCCAAATCGCATGTGCGATACAAATCGACCATTTGAGATGAGGTTTTCAAGCTCAAGTTTATGATTCGTAATCTTCTTATACCACTGCAAGAAGTATACAGCAAAGCCACTTGAATATACACACCTTCTTCTTCCGTTAATTTGTCGTCGTGTTTAATTTCTATTCCAATAGCCTTAAAAATAAAAATTTTTAAAAGATTAGATAATTAAATAAAATGAAATTAAAGCAGATAAATACTAACAAATAACTGTGTTTGTTCTAGACTGTTGTAGCACACAATGTAATTCTATAGAATTACTGTAATTAATTAATTATGAGATAACTTAATGTACCTTATCGCAGTCTATACTGCCTAATTCCATGTCCGTTGTATTAGACATAAAGTAATGTCCATAGAAATCGGTTGCTCTAACTCCTGTTGATGTACGTACTCGCATAACAGCATCAAAAGCAATTGGTCTACTAATGTTATTAATAATATCTGAAATTAATCTTTCACCATCGATATCAGCCTGGAATAGAAATCCCTAGATTATATTTCTGAATATTTTGTTTCATAAAGTAAAGCATATTAAAAATATATTTTACATAGAATTTTCCGAACAATATCTTTATTTTATTCATTAATAGAATTTTTTTTTAATAAATTTGATAAATATTTATATACATTTTTATTGAATTACAGCTCACCTGGAAATAAGTGTATTTATAAATCTCTCCTCCAGTAAGACGACAAATTTGACCAATTGTTGCTATATCTACATATGAATTATTAAAGATAAACAAATCTACACTACAACCTGCACCAACACATTCCTGACCCAAATTATTATAGACATTATTCTGCGGAGCTGTGAAAAACATAACGGTTTAAAAAAGAGCTACAAATCATCATTACTCTAAATGCTATAAAATACATACCTAATACCGTTTTTTCTTTATCTGTTCCAAGTACTTTACGATCGTCACGGTTTTTGAGTTTTCCAGGTGCTTCGGCAATGGGTAAAGATGAATGGAATATTAATAATTTACCTGCACATTCCGATGCCTGGAATCATAATTATGTATGTTTTATGATAATAATCAATATAAACAAAATTATATATATTTTCACTGAACCCCGCTGAATGGATTTATTCACTTATACTTAATCACTGACGAGAAAAAAATTTATCTATACACTTTTTGTTTATTTTTCTTTCCAGATTATACATATACACTGCACTGTTAGTTTAAGTACCTTTAATGCTTCTAATCCAGCTTGTATGGCAGGAGCAAGAATCGTTTCTGTTTCTCGAGTGTCTGCGAACATTTGAGGAATCTGTGTCATAAGGCTGTCGATAACTGCCTCGCTCTCTTCGATGTCGCATAAAAATCCATCTAATAGTGGCATAAATACATCTTGAATATCTCCAACAACCATCATTTGTGGTTGAGCAAGACAAGGATTGATGTTATAAAAATGCACAGTATTATTATATGTTATAAAGCCAACTTTCATATTGCTTTTGGTTTGTCCATCATCAATAGGTAAATTTTTTATTATAGATTTCATCTTTGTACATAATAAGTTCACTAATCCCGATTTAACTGTATTGTACGATACATCAATTATGAACACAATGGCTGGTGATTTTGGAAAAATGTTGTCCTGCAAAAAGAATAAACATATGAAAATCAACATTAATAAATTATATACACATAAATTAATAAATTATATACATATAAATTTATAATTTTAATAATTTAGATAAATTATTTCAATTTTTATTTTGCTTTTTAACTTTCTAAAATATTGAATTTAATTATTTACTAATATATTGTTGTAAAATTTAAAAATAATTTTATTGAATGATTTATGTAAATGATTAAATATATTGAGTTAATTTACCCTGCAATAATCTTTTGTGGCTATATATTCAAATGTACCCAACGTTAATTCAGGTCTCTCATAACGATCCAAGCGTTGACCTGTGTGGTCTAAATGTTGGAAATATTCATTTGGAACTAAAAACATAGAAAACATAGATATAAATATTTAATGCAAAAACTAACTGTGAATGCAAAATAATTTTTAATTAATCGTTACCTTCTGTAGTTGCTTTACAAAACATGCATTGAAATCTTCGGCCAGCATCAATAAATTGCATAAATGGACACATGTAAGCTTTACAACGTACGCAACGTACTGGTCCAATTTCACCCATATCTACAATTGGTGGTTCAAATTCTCCTTTCACAATCCGAGCCATTGGACTTATCACAAGTCCAAAAGGAATATTAGTCTGTGTAAGATACAAATGTATCAAAAAAATGTGAAACAAAATAACTAAATAACAAACTGACTCTTTGTTCACTTTATTCCAATATACCTGCTTTATAAGATCAGCAGTAGTGGGTACATTATACATAGTGGATCTGATGTATCTGGGAGAAGCATTTCCTTGATCTTGAGTTACAAAATTTGTCGTCACCAAAGGTGGTGCCAGACCTTTCTGATTTGTTACAAATACTCCACGTCTCATACTTTGATCATCTTGTATTACTTGAATCTGGATTGAAGACACAGTTTGATTTGAGATAATAAATAATATTGGCATATATAAAATAAGTTGAAAAAATTAAATTCATACTGGGCTCGGCATTTGTTCTGGATCAAGCCGTCTAGTATATTGAGGTTGCAATCCTGGTTGATATCCTGTAGCATTTGGTGTACTTTGATATAAATTTCTTTGATTATTATACATATCCTACGAAAGAAAAACAGTTGTCACTCTTTTCTATATAAAAGATCTTAATTGACTCTTAAAATAGCAAATTTTTTTAATATATACCATTTGGTTAGGATATCCTGGTTGCTGATACGTTGGTTGAAAGCCTGAAGTGATACCAGGTGATGCACGATTCATTCCTAAAGGACTGGATAAATTTTGCCCTGGTAATGGAGGCATCGTAGAGCCATATTGTCTTTGTCCGGGCTGTATTAAACCTGGTCCTACAGGATTCGCTGTAGTTTGACCCGGCATTGGAGGCATAGTTGGTAAATATTGCTTTTGTCGAACTTGAGAATAGTTGGATCCTGGAGGACTTGCTATAGAGTGTCCCATTGTTGAAAGAGAAGGAGCAAATTGTGATGAATCAGATACAGGATCTGTTGGGGGTGCTGCAACTTGTGGTGGTAATGGTGGTGCAGAATTATATGGTGCTATTCCAGACTGGTGTAGGCTAGCATTTGGGAGATTAGTTCCATGAGGTGGGTAACCCATAGAAGCTTGCCCATGTCCAAGAGGAGGTCCTGTAGGTAAGCGTGAAGGTATTTGAGAACCAGGAATACCTGTCACTGGAGGACTCATTATTTGAGAATGATCCCCAGGTGGTGTTGACAGCAACGGAGAATGCATTTGTGAATTTGATAAATTCTGTTCTCCCACAATCGGCTGCTTTAAAAAGTTTTGTTGGTTGTTTATTGGAGGTACAGATGCAGCATACGGATGCTGCCTTCCTACTTCTGGAATATGCTGCATCTGTCATAACAAAATTTATTACAGATATAAACTTTAAGTATATTGAAAATGTATTAATTATGATATGCTATGATATAGATATTTCGTTTATATAAGAATAGTACAAAGAAAGTTAGAAAACAATACTAATATAATACAACAATATTACAAGTTTTATTATTATCTGTAATTGTTAATGTACATACATAAAATATACATAACATAGACAAGAAATGCTGAGAAGATAGTTGAAATAAATAAAATAAAATAAAAATTTAACATGTTCAAAAAGTGAAAGGTAACCTACATGAACAAAAGTGTCATATTTGTTTTATAATATAGATATAAAATGTGAACATGTTCTGTGCATACACATAACGTAAACTCCCATTTAAGTAGAACGTAAAGTACAAAAGACATTAAATAATAGCGACTAGAAATAAAGAAATGCATATGCGACGTTTTAAACCCCAAAATTATTACATGTGGAAACACCAATAAACTTTGCATACAATTATCTTAAATATACGATATACGTACGTTATATCGTAAAATATATTTTAAACTGAATCATAACAATTCTAATATTGCGGAAAATGTTTACACACGAAATGTACAAGAAATGTACGCGAATATAACTTGATGTAACTGTCCACTGAATGTGACTGCTGCCGATGCCACGTAAGGCGGCATTGCGCATGCGTCTAATACACGCTGACAAGACACGTCATGCTATAATTTGGACTATTAAAATTTGATACAAAAAAAATAAGCACATGATATATTTAACGTGCGAATAATAGTATAATTTTTTTCAGATTTAATAAATTATCTGTATACATCAAACGTATTTGTTAAATTATAATAATTATTAATAAAGGCAAATTTAGACTGTTTCTGATGTTTAATGTAGAAATAATACGCGGGCGACATTTGAATCCCTAATAAAAGATTTTTCTGTATTCATTCAAATTTATTCTCTTTCGATCTGGATTAATTTTACTTAATTTTAACAGACTATATGACACACGGTACGATCTCTCGATGCATATATCAGAGAGCTCTGCATATATTCTATCTAATATTTGATAAATCTAATATTTCAAGTAAATTATTAGAAATTTTCTCACTCAATGTAAAAAAATAAAAAATACTTCGGAACTGATATTTAAAACTTATCTTTAATATAAATCCGATAGATTTTAGAAAGACATTAATTTCTGTCACAGACAATTATAATTTCAAATCTTAATAATATATTTTTAATTACTTATATCTTTGTTACATGTTGTCTAAATATAATTTAAAATTAGACCTTCTTTTACATAACAATAAAGAAATAAAAATTGAAAAAATCGCCCGATCTATATAATTTATATAGCGACATTAAATCACATATGAGAAAATGTTTCCATAAACATATAATATTGTAATGTATAAAGAATACAAATAAACGCGATATTTCATCATTTATTATGCAAAAATTATTTTATCAAGAATAAAATATTAGTGAAATTTGAAAGAAACTTAAATTATTTAAACTAAATGCATAATATATAATAGCATAAATAATTATTATAATAGAATTTATTTATCATACATACATATATATATATATACACGCACACATATATTTATATGTACATATATATATATATATAATAAATTTTATCATACTTATTCAATAGAACTTATTTAGTACTCACGCACATACATACACATTATTACCACATCCACGCATGCACGCGTGCATACATTTGTGTCTATATTCCTTTATATAATTACATTCACAAATTAGATTCATAATTCTTTATTATAATACATTTGTACGATATCCACAATCAGTACAATTGAAGGCATAATCGGTTCCTTATCGAAAAATAAGCCGTCAGAGAAATTCGTATTGTAGTATATAAAAATAAATTTTTGCTTATATGTACATATATATATATCGGAAGATAAACGTATCGTGTGACGTGATTACACACTCAAAGCGTATATGGATATTCCTTGATATAGTTTTTAATTAATAGTGGTAAACAGTCAATAGGCAACTTGTTTCGATTCACGGCGAGTCTGGCTAAATGCGACAGTGATCTAACTTCTTTGACAAGAGGACTGGTCAAATAGATCTGGCTATACAGTTGTCCACTATAGTCGACCCACACTTCCCTACGATGTTCATCCATCCTTTTTGAATACGCGACATAGTACTCCAACATTTTAATAGGACAATCAAAAAATGGCATCGCCAATGCTAACTTAGGGTCGGTAGTTTCAAGTCGAAAATGTTCAAGAAAATAGTGTACTCTAATAGAAGCAGGGCCTTTGGTTGTTTTCACAGATACCGCAAAAGTGAATCTGTAATCTGAACTGTCTCTCATTAGCCATCGACCTATGGATGCGTCTTTTAAAAGGTTTTCACTTTGCTGCCGACTGATGCCCTCATGATACCAACCACAAATCTGCAGCAATCTTTTTACTTCACGTAATCTATTTACATGTACATCCGGGTTCCAGGCAGTCAGTGGCCAGGATACCGGAGTTGTCAATGTTTCATCCACTTGCTCGATATTATTACAACTCTTGTTTTCTGCGACAATCTGATTCACCATTGCGCTGTCCAACTCGTTCGGTTGCACGAGACCACCTCCGTGAAAATTATTTCTACCACGACCTGGCAATTTCATCGCTACAACTTGGTTCGGCGGCGTTGTCGTTGTCGCTGTGATGTTTACCGTGCACTGACCCAGATTCGCAGGTAGTTGCACAGTAGCGTTTACTCGGAATTGCACGCTGCTACCGATAGGCTCCAGTAGCAATGAGTCACGATTATCCGCGAGAGATGCATCAAATATTCGTCTATGATGGTACTGACAATGGTTCTGCTGAAATGTACTTTTGCAATCGCAGCAGTTATTTGTTTTGATCGTGTTCGGTATCTTTCGTGATCTTGATTCAGCACTTGTTATTTCATTATTTTCGTTACCTCTTATCGTCCCAGATGATATGACCCTTATGTTCGCAGGCAATTCTGAATAATCGTTGGGAGGCGTAACAAATGTCCGATTATTAACGGATGCGAAGTTTTTTGTACATTTGGATGTTGCCAATCGTTCATCTTCAACGGTCAGTTTCTTCTGTACAAGACAACCGCCGCCGGTAAGCTTTGGTTCAATTTTGATTTGCGAAGCTTGTGCCAGAATTTCGGGTTCTGTATGTTGTGTTAGACAACCACCTGATTGTATATCAGGTGTAGCAATCGTGACGCTACCGCCAGTGAGCTCGAATGTAGATGCGACATATTGCTCCGAAGGTGCCATCTCATAGTTAAGATTTTCTGTCACTGTAATGAAAGGATCTTGATCATTCGATTGATACATTGGCGATGTTAACAGCGGATGGTGATTATGTTTCATCGACGTCTGTATGTCATAGAAGAGTTCCAGTGTATCAGAATCAGTAATTTCGACATTGGAGCCGCAATTAACTGCACGTGATTGAAAGATGGTGGGTTCTTGAATCTTTGTAGATGGATTTATAAAACAACTGCTGTCGCTGGTGCAGCCATGGGATACTGGGAGACTACTAACATAATAGGTTGCCGTCTTTGAACAGATAGTATTAGCAGCCATCTTCTCTTCCTTTTTCTCTTCTTCCTCTTCCTCCTCTTCTTCCTCCTCTTCCTCTCCTTCTTCTTCATCATCTTCTTCTTCTTCACCCTCTTCTTCCTTCCTCACCTCTTCTTTCTCCTTTTCTTCTTTTTCTTTCTTTTCTTCTTCATTCTTTTCCTTTTCCTGTTTCTTCTTTTCTTCCTCTTCCTCTTCCTTCATTTCCTTTTGATTAGTTTCATCATTCCATTTTAAACAGCATCCCAATACAGGAAAATGATGCTGGCATTTTGGACACACCATTCTCAACATCATGTTCGTACGCTTGCAACCGAATCACTGCAATCAACATAGCAGTCCAGTCTGAAATAAATAACAAATATTAATTAATATTATAAGTTAATAGCGTAAATAATAATATAAATAGCAAAATTATTATATAATTTGTACATATTTGTATAATTATGATTTACAAAAAATATTGTATACGTATTTTGGCAAAAATATTTTGCTACAACAATCTTTTATCAAAAGATGGTCATAAAATATAAGCGTTTAAAAAATCGTTAAAAAAAAATTTTTATGCTGTAGGTGTGTATTAAATCCATTTTCATTTTTGATTGTTGCTAATCATCGTTTTTTTGTAAAAAAAAAAGAAGTATAAGATTTATCAAAATAAATTTTTAAATTTCTATATTCAATTTTCTCAAAAAGAAAAAAAATTTTATTTGATTTGATTTTTATTGTGTAGAATAGTTTCCTCCTCAGGGAAAAATCATCGATATAATGGTTCGATCTATACATAATATTCTCATGAATTGAACTCGTTAATGTCAATAAAAATGTATTTTTAATCGTTAAGCTTAATATATAGGATTGTACACCAATGAGACTTCTGCTCTGTATGTCGAAATAGGAGTTCTTAGAAAAACATTTTTGGCAAGGATCAGTGCGGCAGACGATAACGACGGCACCGCATAGCGGTGACGTCTACTTCGTGGAATATAGTCTGAAAATTTGACGCGCTCCTACATTTACCACCGAGCCACTTCTATGTCACTCTATTTTCACCAATTGGTGAACGCTTCTTCGAAAAAGCGCTTATGTTCGTTAGATATATATTACGCAATCCGACTTGATAACAAAATTAGATCGCATATATATTCTAATCTCTCATGGCTAATCAATGACGTTATATATTCCGAAAACTGATAATATTAAGCATAAAATTAAAATCTAATTGCAAATAGAATTATCGGTGAAACTTAAAATATTTCAAATAATAGCGAGAAAAACTATTTTTATTTTATCGTAAAATAAGTTATTTTCGTTCACATGAATTATATTGACTTTTCATATAGAAAAAAACTTCCTATGGAGAAATCATTTTCAGTTTTACAAATTTGTTAAGTAATCTAGAAATATTCCTTTTAATAAAAATAATGTAAATTTTATACATGAATATAAATTTTTTACTGCATATATTTAAACTATATTATATTTAAACTATATTAGAAAAAATCAATATAATTCATGTAAAAAAAATAAGAATAACTTATTTTAGAGTAAAAAAAAAATTATTCTCGCTATTATTTGGAATATTTTTAGTTTTAAGAATAATAGAAAGATGTAAATGTAAGTATAATGATGAATAATTTATATTCATATATATTTTCTGGCACAATTGTATGGATATATAATGATAAAAATATAAAATCTGTGTGTAACACATATTTACATTTATATCATTAGAATGATTTTAGAAGTACATCCATCATGACTTTTCTAACAAAAAGTAAAAATAATAAAATTATTTAGTTATAGAAAAATATACTTTCTTATAATAGAGAAATATGTGCATGTATATGTATGTACATTGAAATAAATTCACTTAATTATCAACTGACATATGGAAATGTTTATTGTTTTTTGTAAATTAAAAAAATTTCTGGAATAATTTAATTCAAAGGAAATTTTTAAAATAATGTAATAAAGTAAAAATAAAAAAACATTTAAAAAAAAATACATTATTATAATACCTTACCAAAAAAATATATTGCTTCGTTACTTCTTTAAAATATTTTATCCAAATATGTATGTACGTAGTCCAATGACATTTGTTCTTCCCTTCCTTCAAGTATCAATAAGATTCTGTCAAAAATTGCCTGAGTAAGTTTTCGTCAAGTGAGCTCAGAAATAACTGATTTTATCAACTATTTGAACCATCAACACAAAAATATTTTAGTAATAAACTTATAAGGTAATAAATTAAATTTATGATCTTTTTTATTTAATGTGTTATTAATAAATATATATATTTACACAATAATATACCACATATACATTGCTGCGAAACTACATTTTCTTCCATATAGTTTTATCATCTGCATAAATAAACATAATCAAACACAAATAATAACAATAGCAGCATTTAAATAAAAATCGAATATTATCATGTAATATATCTAAATTATACATAATTATAAAACATCAAAATAAAATAAATCATAAAATTAATATTGTATCATGAACTAACCGTTCAAATTTTGGCAGTGAAGTAAACTTTTATAAAACGTCGGTCATTGATAGTACTTTGTCGATGCTTCGAGTAAAAATGCAGTTACTTGAACACTCATATAATCTCACGAAATAATCAATTCAACTGTTTCAACTAAGACCTTTTATCCGTTTGTGTTGTGTTTGTTGTTCGAAAGAAAGGTATTATGGATTTTGTGAGATTTACAATAAGGCAATATGTCTCTCGGATCGTATACGCGGATATATACTTTAATAAATTTCAATCGGACTCATTTACTAATGCTCACACGTCAAAGAATGAAATTTAACATAACTTAACCTAAACTTAATGTACTTGATAACGCAACGACCGGAAAATGGGAAGCACTAGCTTTCCTCGTATTCGCGGACAAATGATCACGAAAGACTGGAACCAAAGAGATTCAACAACTTGCATGAAGAGTGCAGTCTTCATGACCAATAAGATAACGTTATTTACGTGCTGACGTTGCGCAACGATGCAGCGCATCTACACTTGAATAGTGGCGCCAGCTGTTCCTAGTCTTCGCTGACTTTCACGGTTTCGCGTTCACTTCGTAAACCAAATGGCGATTTTTGTCAATTTATGTTGCTTCATGTACATACGGCAATAATATATTGACCGTATCGAACCTGTTTTCGGAAATCACGTGCCGTAAAAGAAAAAGAAGAAGATATACAGCAATATATATAATAGCATTTATTAGTTTTACTCGAAAATTGTGCATTTATGTTACTATGTCGAAAGCCAAAGTTACAGCGGAATGGAGGAAGAGGGTAAAATCGGAGTACATGCGATTGCGGCAAATGAAACGCTATAAACGAGCGGACGAAGTCAAAATCGCGTGGAACCAGAATCGCAAAGTCATGACAGGCAAGTATTTGTCGTTGCAATGCTAAAAAGTAATAGAATAGAATCTTTCCTTCAGCATTACAAAGCCAAGAAGAGAACGTGGTTCATATTTTTCCGTATTCTCACATCCTTCCATTTTTGCTATTGTATTTTTAAATCTAAACCCTAACTTGTCAATCTCAACTACAATGTTATTATTATGTAATGGTATTATGGCTCAAAAATTTAAAAATGAGTTAAAAGAGAAGGGCTACGAGCTAGAAATATAACGTATAGAAAGATTGGTAGATAAGTAAAGTCTCATTTAATTATTATGAATTTTAATAAAATATTCCAGCTAATAGACGTTTCAATCCACGATCGGATCATTATCAATGTTTATAAAATTTGTCAGAACGGTAAAAACATCATATATGGTTAATCGATTAAAAATAAAAATATACTTTGCATTGTCTAACTATATAACCATTGGTATCAATAATTAAAATAAATCTCTGTATTGTTGGTTAAAATGTACAGTAACATGCATAATATACATATACATTAAAATTTGTCAGAACGGTAAAAACATAACATATGATCGTTCGATGAAAAATAAAAATATACTTTGCATTGTCTAACTATATAACCGTTGATATCAATAATTAAAATGAATCTTCGTCTTATTGGTTAAAATGTGCAGAAAAGAATGTCGATGTATGACTATAAACTGGTGTCTAGAATGGAATATAATAAATTGTAATTATAAATATAGTAATGTAAAATTATATAAGGACAGAAATAATATAATATGATGAGATAATATAATACTGATATTTTTTAGTAAAAGTTAAAACGATGTATCTGTCTATTATATTGAATAATACAATATTAGTAAAAGTTAAAATGATATATCTATCTATTATATTGAATTAAAATAATAAAATTTTACCAGTTAAATTAAATAAGAAAGAATACCTTTCATGATTGTAGTTGAGAGTTCAATTAAAAATGATTAAAATATGTATCAGGCGTAATAGACAATGCAATGAGAGAAAGATCAATGTCTCTTTCCTTTGATGTTATGAGACAAAATAAATTTTAAATTGACTTTCAGAGAAGGAAGGTAAAGTTGATGTTAGAAAATAGTGGGTAGTGAGACTAAAAAAGGAAGGAATAGGTGGAGGGAGGGGAGATGTATAGATAGGAAAGAAAATACAATATTATTCCTATCTGATCTTTTTCAGCTTGTCTGTACTTCTGTTACTTCCCCATATCTTTTCATTTCGGATTTTCTTATACGATATTAATTCTGTTTCCTCTATTTCTATCAACTTCTAATTTTTATTTATATCTATACTTTACAGCTAAATTCCTATTCTCCATGCAGTCTTCAATTTTCAGCCATTTTTCTTTCTTTACTGTCTTTCTCACTGTTCTTTCTATCTCATTGTCCTCTTGGTCTTTCGACTTCTTTCTGTATTTGTCGTCATCTAAGCACATGGCTAAAATATAATTATAATAGCTACTTGTCAATATTAGCATACAACTTTGTATTACAATAATTATTTATGATTCTTTGTTGAATAGAGCTTCTTGTGGCTGAACAAAAGCGTTGGACAGACGGAAAGGCAACGTGGCTGGCAATGCAAGACATTCCACCTCATCTTTCTTGTATGAAGAAAGCTGAAATTACTAGTCCCGATGGCGATGTGCAAAGTTGTCCTGTAAAAATAATTAATGCAGTGACTCCTATACCAACCATGTATACATGGGCTCCCATTCAACAGAACTTTATGGTGGAGGATGAAACTGTTTTGCACAACATTCCTTACATGGGTGATGAGATTTTGGATCAGGATGGTACCTTTATCGAGGAGCTTATAAAAAATTATGATGGAAAGGTATGGAGAATAATTAAAACATGATACAGTGTTAGGTCCTGGCACACAAAAAACTGAAGTGAATAAACAATAAGTGTATTAGTCAATGGTCGCGTTCAGCAGACTCAACTTTTGTTGTCACTAATTTTGTTGCAGGTTCATGGTGACAGAGAATCTGGCTTTATGGATGATTCCATTTTTGTCGATTTGGTGAATGCTCTAGCAAATTATGAGAGAGAAGATAAGGACAAAGAACAGGTAAAGAAAGGAAAGGAATCCTTAAAAGAGAAAGAAAATCAAAAAGAAAATGACAAGAAAGATGAAATAAAGGTTGAAATAAAGATAGAAAAAACTGAAAGTGGGAGGACTGCTGCTACTCCATTTCCATCAATGCATATATTTAATGTAAGGAAATTATATAAATGCCATAATACAATATTAAATAGTATAATGCTATAACATAATTGCTTTATAATTATTTTCAGGCAATATCGAGCATGTTCCCTGATAAAGGAAGACCTGAAGAATTAAAAGAAAAATATATTGAATTAACAGAAAGATTCGATCCAAATATTTTACCGCCAGAATGTACGCCTAATATAGATGGTATAAATGCAAGAAGTGTACCTAGAGAACAAACAATGCATTCTTTTCATACTTTGTTCTGCAGGAGATGCTTCAAGTACGACTGCTTCTTACATCGTGAGTATACTGCAGTGAAACAATGTATTTAACGTGTATTTAAGTTGTATTTTGTGAAGTAGATCGCAAAAATATAATATTATTTTTAAGTCTTTAATACTTACTATCTATTTACTCAGTAATTTAGGATATTACTTTTAGAGATAAAATAAAATCAATGACATAAAAATACTTCGCTGAAATACAACTTACTAAAGTATTGTATAATATTTTAAGTGTTCTAAATTGAAAGTTTATTAATAACAATAATTTGTGATTCCTGATTTATCGTAGCAGCCAGGGGGACCTCGCCGCAAGGTAAAGAACAATATTGCATACAAACTAATGCATTATCGATCGGAAGCTTTTTTTTGTTTAGCACAGAGGCATCGTCAAGGGCTCATCTGCAATCATATTTCATTCATCGTTCATCGCTGTGTCTACTAAATTTTTCTCCATTCACTATGCCGAATTAGCCGACAAGAGTACATAGTGAGTTTATGATGTTGCTTGTAGGTCTTCAAGTTTGCCATCCAGGTCCGAATTTGCTGAAACGAAAAGGACCCGATTTGAAACCGTTTCCAGAGCCATGCGGGACTGAATGTTACATGCATTTGGTACGTAATTATGCTATATTTTAATGAATATTATCCTCAAAGTCAGATTTGATATAACTTTTTATGTAGGAGGGGATGAAGGAAAAGCTGGCAGCACAGGCGGCGGATATAAAAGAAGAGGAAGGTGACGAGAAACGCGGCGGTCCTAGGAAGGTACGAAAACAAGCAAGCGTCGATTCTGGAAACGAAGCGAGCAGCGAGGATAGTAACGACAGCAATAAGTACGGCCAAGGAGGCAGTTGTCAAGGTTAATATATAATTCATTAATCTATTATAATCCATTAGATGTGTACGTTTTAAATTTTAATGAAATTCTAAGAAGTCTTATTTTTTTCAAATTAGACTTTAAACAAAACGTTAACAAAAATAACTCCAAATCTGAAGAAATGATGGAGGATCAAGCACAACCTGAAAATCAGGCGCCCTTCACGTTATTAGGAATTGGCAAACGAATTAAGACTGAAAGTGAATTCTCATGGACAGGTTCAGAACAGAGCTTGTTCCGAGCTCTTCACAAAGCCTTCCCTGGCAATCCATGTGCATTAGCACAAATTATGTTAACAAAAACTTGCCAGGAGGTTTATGAATTTGCACAAAAAGAGGCTTCGGATATTCCCGCTGTAGAAAATCTGAAGGACTTTACGCCACCGCGAAAAAAGAAAAAGAAGCATCGGTTATGGTCCATGCATTGCAGAAAGATACAACTTAAGAAAGATTCTGGTATATTCATTAATTAATTTCAAATTTTAAGCTTAAATTATATTTCTTTCGATCCCTAATTATATTTTTTTCGATAGGTGCTAATCATGTTCATAATTTCGCACCTTGCGATCATCCGGGTCGCCAGTGCGATAATTCATGCCCCTGCATACAGGCACAGAATTTCTGTGAAAAATTCTGTCAATGCAGCAGCGAGTGCCAAAATCGATTTCCTGGTTGTAGATGTAAAGCTCAGTGCAACACGAAGCAATGCCCGTGTTATTTAGCCGTAAGGGAATGTGACCCGGATCTTTGTCAAACGTGTGGAGCTGATCAATTCCATATCACTAAAATATCTTGTAAAAATGTCAGCGTGCAACGTGGTCTTCGTAAGATTAATAATTTTCAAATATATTATTAAAAAAAAACAACAAAAATATACACAAAATCTAAGAAAATATTATTTGTAGACAAACATCTTTTAATGGCACCTTCAGATGTAGCAGGGTGGGGAATTTTCCTGAAAGAATCAGCGGCAAAGAATGAATTTATTTCGGAGTACTGCGGCGAAATTATTAGTCAAGATGAAGCCGATAGAAGAGGAAAGGTATATGATAAATATATGTGCAGTTTTCTCTTCAATCTTAATAATGGTAA